AGACTTCGACCCACAGCACACCTCAGTGAGACCACTGCACACATCACTGAGTCCCAAAAAACAAATCTGTGACCCACAACTCACTGCATTAACACCCTAACCTCACTAGGACCCACAGCAAAATTCATTGAGTTTCACTGCAAACCCCCCTTTAAACAACAGCACAGAAAACAGCAACACACAGCATACCTCAGTGAGACCACTGCACACATCACTGAGACCCAAAGATCAAACCTGTGAACCACAATACATCCCACTCACACCCTAACCTTATTAGGACCCCCAGAAAAATTCATTGAATTACAATGCAAACCCCACTTTAAGCCAAAACCCACCCAATTTTAAACAACAGCACAACAAACTGCAACCCACAGCACACCTCACTTAGACAAATGCACACATCACTGAGACCAAAGGTACAAATCTGAGACCCAAAACACACCCCACTCACACTTTAACCTCACTAGAAACCATATCAAAATTCACTGAATTACACAGCAAACCCCACTTTAAGCCACAGCTTATCCCACATTAAACAAAAGCACAGCAAATGTGACCCAAATAACAACTCAGTGAGACCACTGCACACATCACTGAACCCCAAAGTAAAAATCTGTGATCCACAACTGACCCCATTCACACCCTAACTTCACTAGGACCCATAGCAAAATATATTGAATTACACTGTAAATCTCACTTTAAGCCACAGCACCCCGCACCACAAACTGCGACCCACAGTACACCTCAGTGAGACAACTGCACACATCACTGAGTCCCAAAGAACAAATCTGCAACCCACGACACATCCCAATCACACCCTTACCTCACTTGGACCCACAGCAAAATTCATTGAATTACACTGCAAACCCCACATTAAGCCACAGCACACCACACTTTAAAGAACACCACAGCAATCTGCGACCCCAAGAAAACCTTAGTGAGAGCACTGCACACGTCACTGAGACCCAAAGAAAAAATCTGCAACCCATAACACGCCCCACCAACACCCTAACCTCACTAGGGCCCACAGCAAAATTCATAGAGTTACACTGCAATCCCCAGTTTTAGTAACAGCACACCACAATTTAAACAACAGTACAGCACACTGCAACCCACAGCACACCTAAAAGAGACCATGGTACACATCACTGAGACCCAAAGAACAACCTTAGGACCCACAACACACTCTACTCACACCCTAACCTCACTAGGACCCTCAGCAAAATTCATTGAATTACATTGCAAACCCCACTTTAAACAACAGCACAGCAATCTGCAACCCACAACACACCTCAGTGAGACCACTACACACATCACTGAGATGAAAAAAACAAATCTACAACCCTCAACACACCCCATTCACACCCTAACCTCACTAGGACCCTCAGCAAATTTCATCAAATTACACTGCAAACCCCACATTAAGCCACAGCACATCCCATTTTAAACAACAGCACAGAGAACTGCAACCCACAGCACACATCAGTGAGACCAATGCACACATCATTAAGACCCAAAGAACAAATCTGCGGCCCACAACACCCCACTCACACCCTAACCTCACTAGGACACACAGTAAAATTCATTGAGGTACCCTGCACACTCCACTTTAAACAACAGCACAGCAAACTGCTACCCACAGCAAATCTCAGTGAGACCAGTGCACACATCACTGAGACCCAAGTAACAAGTCTGCGACCCACAACACACCCCACTTACATCCTAACCTCACTAGGACCCACAGCAAAATTCATTGAGTTTCACTGCAAACCCCACTTTAAACAACAGCACAGTAAACTGCAATACACAGCACACCTCAATGAGACCACTGCACACACCACTGAAACCCAAAGAACAAACCTAGGACCCACAACACACCCCACTCACCCTAACCTCACTAGGAACAAAAGCAAAATTCATTGAATTGTACTACAAACCCCCACTTTAAACTACAGCACAGCGAACTGTGACCCACAGTACACCTCAGTGAAACAACTGTACACATTACTGAGACCCAAAAATCAAATCTGTGATTCATAAGACACACCACCAACACCCTAACCCCACTAGGACCCACAGCAAAATTCATCGAATTACACTACAAACCCCACTGTAGGCCACTGCACATCCCACTTTAAACAAACACCACAGCAAGCTGAGACTCACAGCACACTTCAGTGAGGCCACTGCACACATCACTGAGACCCAAAGAACAAATCTGCAATCCACAACACAACCCACTCACACCCTAACCTCACTAGGACCAACAGCAAAATTCATTGAGTGCCATTGCAAACCCCACTTTAAACAACATCACAGCAAACTGAGACCCACGGCACACTTCATTGAGACCACTGCACACATCACTGAGACCCAAAGAACAAATCTGTGACCCAAAATACAACCCACTGACACTCTTACCTCACTAGAACCCACAGCAAAATTCATTGAATTATGCTACAAACCCCACTTTAAGGCTCAGCACATCTCACTTTAAACAGCACAGCAAACTGCGACCCACAGTACACCTCATTGAGACAACTGCACACATCACTGAGATCCAATGAACAAAGCTGTGACCCACAACACAGCCTACTCTCACCCTAACCTCACTAGGACCCACAGCAAAATTCATTGAATAACACTGCAAACCCCACTTTAAGCCACAGCACACCCTACTTTGAACAACAGCACAGCAAACTGTGACCCACAGCACACGTCAGTGAGACGACTGCACACATCACTGAGACCCAAAGAACAAATCTGTGAACTTCTACACACCCCACTCACACCCTAACTTCACTAGGACCCATAGCAATATTCATTGAGTTTCACTGCAAACCCCTCTTTAAACAACAGCCAGAAACTGCAACCCACAGCACACCTCAGTGAGACAAATGCACACATCATTGAGACTCAAAGAACAAATTGCAACCTACAACACAAAGCTCTCTATCCCTATTAAAAGGGAATCAGGGCAGGATCTACTTCACAGGACTGTTGCGCAGGTTAAATGCATTATGCATGAAAATCAGCCCGTTGCTGTGGTGCAGCAAGAAGGCAGTACTCTGGGGACCAGCAGTTAGTGTAATGGCTATGTCGCTGGACTCCCATGTAGTTGGCTGTGGTTCGGATCCCAGACCCAGCAGCTTAAAACTCACTCCAGGTGTGTGTGCATGCGTGCCCAAGATCCCGAGAGGAGAATGGAGGAGAAGGGATTGTGGCATGGCCATCCCCTCGTGGGGTGATTTCTCACTTTCTGTCTCTCTGTCTCTCTCTGTTTGGCACGAAAACACGCCCTGTATGCCCTATAGCAAAAGCTTCTAAAAAGAAAATTTTTAAAAAAGAATGCAGTACTCTGCAGTGCTGGAAGCCACCTGGTCAACGATGGGTTCATATCTCCAGGCCAGCCTGAAAACAGAGCTAGCATACAGGATGCCAGGGTCCTGGTGAGCTGGAGGCTGAAGAAAGAAGGTTGCAGCATGCTAAGACCATCTTGAGAGTAATTCTTTCCCTCTCTCATGCATCTATACTCTATCATACACTACAATGAAATAAAAAATCTTAAGCAAAGGCACTTGGAATTGCCTAGTGCATGGTATATACTATAAAGCATTTTGTTCTCTTTTACCTTTCCTTCTTCTCCTTTTTCTTTCTTTCTTCTTTGCCTTCTTTTCCATTTCTTTCTCCTCTTCCTTTTCTGTTTTAAAGCATTTGTCTGGGTGTATGTGCACTTACTCTGGGAGAGAGAAAGACGAAAACAGAGAGACAGAGAGAGAGAGAGAGAGAGGAGAGAGAATGTGAGAAAGCATTCCCACAGATATGGTCACACTGCAATCCCTTCTCTTCCATCTCTCCCTCCTTTGGGGATTTTGAGCACACACACATACATGCCCAGTGTGCTTTTCAAGTTGCTGGACTGACACTATAACCATGCAGTCTGCCATGTGGAATCTGGCCACTTTAACCACCATGCCACCTGACTAGCCTCCTCCTCTTCTTTTCCTTACCGTGATTATGTAATTATTGATTCTTCTGAAGGATGGATTCACACTGGGGCTGCCTTCCAGGGATCAGCAGGAGGGGCTGGTATTGAAAATGACTAAGCCATTTCTGACTGCTGCGGGTTGGCAGCTGCACTGTTGGGAGGGCTGGGCCCTTGGCAAACCCTTCTCTTGTACAAAGTCTGACCCTGAAATATTGAGAACATTTGAAAAGAATTTTTAACCAACAAATGGGAACACATTTGTGATCACCACCTTCAGAGCACTGTCCTGCAATGACCAACCATGTGAACCGGCTCTGCCTCCCCAGCTCACATTATTTTGGGATTTTCCTGATCCTCACCAACCTCCCCCTGTTCCCTTAAAGTCTGAGTAGATCTCCATTTTTTCTTCATGGAACTGATCAAGGGTAGATTTACAGTTACTGGTGGTCAGCTCACATTTCCGACTGGATTGCAATCCCGGCAAGGACAGCCAGCTCACTGTAATCCTGTATCCACTGCCTGCTGTGGTGTGGATGCTCCATAAACACTGGTTTTGGTGGTCGGCTGTGTTGATCCTGAGTTTGGGAAGTTTCTTAGAGCCCGTGAGACCTTCTTTTGTATACCGCCTGTGTGGCCCAGTCTCCGTCCTTTGGGGATAGATGTGACTCCAGGAAAATACCTAAAGTAATTCTATGCCAAGTTTGGTGAATGAATTGGCCGATGCCAATTCTGTCTTATAAATAAATTTACAAGACTGGTTTTCTTGCGTGGCTACTCAGCCAGGTCTAGCTGCCATTCCCCCAGAAGCCTTCCAAAAAGTATTTTGAGACGAGTCTTTAGAATAGGCGGCAGAGTCAGTCCCATGGCCAAGACTGACTTCGCAGCTCCAGCGCGGCGGGCGTTCCTGCATGGGACTGTAATGCTCAAATTGGCCACAAGAGGGGAGCCGTGTTCCGGACCCTATCAGGGTACTCGGAGATTGCTTCAAGAACTTTTAATAAAGCCCCGCCGTGCCGCAGCTGCAGTCCCCATCTCAGTCAGTACCTAGTCTAGCTCCCAGCAGATGCCTCCACGGCACATCTCCGGATCACTGTCCGAGGCTGGCTGACCGAGGCGCGGCGCTCAGAGAGTTCCAGGTGCAGACCCCCAACTCGGCCACAAGGTTGAGTCTGGCCTCCTGCTCCGTCCTCCTGCAGAGGTAACCCCTGGGTCTTGCCCTGAGACAAGTCACTGGGCGCCCCTACAGCCTCCTTCTATGACTCCACCTGGATTTGGCTGACAGTGGGGACCTTCTTTGAGGGGCTGCCTGGGTCATAGCGAGCAGCAGCCAGCTCTCCAGCCAGCATGGCAGACGCCAGGCACTGAGGGACAGGCTCTGGGGCCTCCGCAGGCGCACTCAGGTGAGTCTTGGCACTAGCTGTGGGAACACCTCCCTGGGCATGCTGTCCCACAGGGAGCCAGAGCCGGACCAGTCCTGGGGGTGCCGAATGGAGCAGAACATAGCATTTGGTCAACTCTGGGATGTGGAACTGGGGCTGCCTCGCCTCCTCCAGGTGGGAGGCTGTCGGTTCTCTGAGCCTGGAGAGCATGAGCCTGCATTTGGCTGCCAGAGGGAAGCTACGACCTTGGTGGCAACTCTGCTTGGCTCGGGTCATAGCTTGAGGAGCCTATTCAGGGAGATGGTACAGGTGACAGCCCTCATTTACGTGCAGTGCGTGTGTGTGTGTTTGCATGTGCCCCATGGCAGGACGTATGAAGGGAGGAGTTACTCATAACACATCTGCAGCTCTCCAGCTTTGGGTTCTGACTTACATTAGCGGAACACAGTGAGAAGAGGGACATGTTTAAAACTTACTTAACCCTTCTTTCCCTGGAGGGGGCACATTCCTGGTGATTTTTTCCCTGGTTTTGATGAAGCAATGCAAAAAGCTGTGAGTTAGCTAACTGCAGAGTTACATCCTAGAACCAGAGGAATTGTCTTCGGAAGTGCTAGCAAGGCCTGTGCCACCCCCTCAGCAGAAAGAACTGAGTCCTGATGCTCAGAGGGACTTCAAAAGCCAGTGTCCCCAGTTTAGCTCCTGGCTGCAGTTGTGACTGCATTTTGCAGAGGGAACCCTAAACAGCTTTGTTTCTGGGACTGGTGAGGCAGGAAGGAGGTCTCAGGAGCCCAGAGACCTCCTTCCTGTACCTGGCTGCTTGTCTGGGTCAGAGATGCTAGGGGTGGTACGTGTTGGTTCTCTTCAGATGCTGTCATGGCTTCCCCGGGCGGGCACCCTTGTTCATAAAGCACCTCATGTGAGTGGTTGGACTGTCTTGGAAATTCCCCTGAGGTTGAATGAGACCAGCTGACTGGGGCAAGGTCCCCAAGGAGTAACTAAACAGAGGAGCCAGGATTGGAGCCCTCAGCCTCTCTGTGTGCTCTCCACACCCATGTGCCTGCAAAGAGCCTCTTGGGAAGAAAGGAGTATGCATGGCCGAGGGCTTCCTCCACTCTAAAATGCAGAGCCTGGAAGAGATCCTTTGCCATGCCCTGAGTGAAGCTGCCTGGGAGTGACTCAAACACCCCTAAGGGGTGAGTAGATTGTCCCCTCCCTCTTGATAGCACAGCCCCACTCGAACTTCAGACACGGCAGTCCAGGCTCCGGGGGAGGGCTTTATCCATAGTCACTGTGGCTTCCATGCCCTGCCCATAGTTCTGCAGCCTACCCCTGCCTTCAAGCTCTCAGAGCCTCTCATTGGCCTCAGGGCCCTCTGAGGTGTGAGTCTCTTCACTGTCTGGCCTGAGACCCTGAAGGAGGCCACCAAGAGGGGCTGATGCCCAACTTCTTGGACAAAATAATCCGTTGGCTAAGCCAGAGCCTGTGCGGGAAGCTGCTGCCCAGGGCCTTGTCTTGCTCGATATCCTGTGTTTTTTGCCTCTTCGATGTTGAGTGGCTTATCTTCAAAATGGGAAGGACAGAGAGGATGCTGCCTGCCTGTCCCCTGCGCAGTGCTCCAGGAGGAGCTTGTGCGGAGATCCCAGATGACAAGGGGTCCATACCACGGGGCGTGTGCACACACACATTGCCACACTTGGCAGGCAGTTGTGTCTTGCCTGAACACAACCTTGACCCAAAGGCCAAAGACCCATGATAAGACCCAAATGCCTGCCCCCTTTCTCCAAGAAAGGAAATGGCCTCAAGTAAAACCTGGGCAGACAGAACATGCATAGGTTTCATTTCCAAGCAACAAACATTAGCAGAGTTGACAGAGCATTTCCAAATGCATCTCACTCACATCTGGCCCCGCTTGCCGGCCCCGCTCCCCGACCAGCTCCCCTGAGCTCCGACCAGCTGAGGGGTGGGGTGGGGAGGACTGTGCAGAGGGGCCGCCCCAAGACACATTCCAGATAACAAGCTGTGCATTCCAGCTCGAGCCCAGCAGCTGACCAGGAGAGAAGAAGGTGGCCATGAAGATGGGCCCCCCCCCCAACTCCACTCTGTAGGAATGGAACCCTGTCTGACTCTGCATGACCTCTGGGCAGCAGAAGCTATTGCCTTTGGCAGAGAAGGGGTTACAGCAGGCAGAGGAGACACTGACCTCCTGCTTTGCAGCTCTCTAGGAGTGAGGCCAGACAGAGGGAGGGTCCCCTGCAGTTCAGCTTTAGCAGTGAGGGAGCTGCTGAGGGCCCCACCTAGAGGCTGTCCCTGGGTGGAGGACTTGGACACAGGGCTGGGATGAGGGGACTGCAAAGTGGATGTAGATGAAGCACAGAGAGGCTGCCTGGGGCAGGGAGGAGAGATCCTGGTGGAGCCGTGGACCACTCTCTTCTGTCCCTCCCATGGGCTGGAAGAAAGACCACAGAAACGGGAACACCATGAGTGTGTGTGTGCGTGTGCGTGTGTGCATGTGTGCATGCACACAAGCACGTGCTGTGTGTGAGGGATGTGGAGACTTATTTGAAGAGATAAGAGTGGAAAGCCCCTCCCCCCTGGGTGGTTGGAAGACAGCCGAATAGTAACTGGTCAGTTCTGGCCTCTTCTCAGCCCTAAAGTCAGAGGTCTGTGGACATCAAGTTCAAGGTATGGAGACAAGGGCTTCACGTGTAGCTCTGCCCTGCCAGACTCACAGCCTCCCCCCTTCGTTCTCCCTATTTATGGAGCAGTGACAAGGCCTCCTTGCCACCCTCTTACCAGGAACTGACCAATTCCTTCAGGGCTGTTGTTCCCCACAGCCACCCGCCATTGCTCCTCCCAGGTCCCAGAGTCGTGGCCAGCACCTCTGAGACTCAGGGTTGTGTTTGCTCCATACAGGGCCTGGGACCCACCTCATAGGGACATTTGTCTCCCAAAGAATTCATTTTTTAAAAAATTGGATATTTTTGGTTACATCTTCAGCTAGTGAACATCAAAAGTACATGTCTGGTTTTAAAAAAAAAGATAAATCCATGGCTGAAGCTGAGATGAACATAGTGATCTGTAAAATCAATGGACATATATGTGAGAAAAAGAATATCGAGTATTTTTGTAAATAAATACTTTGTATTCTGACTTGAAATGCTGGCCAGTGGCGTGGTGGTTAAGGTGACTGGATTCCACATGACCAACAGGACAGTTCAAGTCCCAGATCCAGTGGCTTGAGAAACACACCAGGTGCATGAGGGTATGCACCTAAAATCTCCAAAGGAGGGAGAGATGGAGGAGAAGGGATTGCAGTGTCTGCCATGGGGTGTGCTTTCTCTCTCTCTCTCTTTCTCTCTAGTGTGTGTAGATGCTCTCTGGAAAAATTTAAAACAAACAAAAGAATGCAAGCACATAGAAACCAAGAAAAATCCAGCAAGGAAAAAAAAAAAGTACAAAATCCCAATAGTCCCTTCCAGCCAGAGTTCTGCAAAGCATTTCTCACCAGGAATGACCAGTAACATCTTGAGGACAGCCTTCCCCACCCATTGATGCAGTCACAGACATGTCACAGATGCACAGGTTACAAAATGGGATTGTGTTATACACAGAGTTGTGCAAATGAGGCTGCTGAGCTCCAAGAAGTGTAGGATTGTCCCAAATCGGTGGGTGCATTCCTGGAACACCAAGTGGCCCGAAGACCCAGTGAACCAGCCTCAGAGGACCATGCAGACCGAGCCCTCTGCTGGCCTGATGCTGTTAGCCTCTCAGCATCTGAGGCCCTGCTGAGGCTGCCTGCTCCTCGGGCTCCATGGGTGATGGCTCCCTGCTGTGGTCCCACTGAACCAAGTTCCTTTTGACCATGCCCGCCTGGCTGGATCTGGGAACCATTCTGGTCTCCTCAGTTGTGTTGGATGGTGGTCTCTGCATTTCTCATACTGCCCTCCTCATGTCTCTTGTTTCCAACACAGAACAGCAGCCCAAGTCCCTCTGACATGACTAGGGCTCCAGGGGGCTTGTAAACTTCTCCCTGGTCACCTTGAGGTGAGCAGGGTCAGCTTCTTCAGGGGCCACCCAGTGTGACCCACAATGGCCCCCAGCTCAGGCTCCAGCTTCACAGAGCTGTTGAAAGGAAGGGACAGATCCCATTCCATAGGGCCTTGGTCTTCCCAAGCACTGAGGAAGTTGGGGTGTGGGATCAGGGTCCAGGGATTTGTACATGGCGCCTGATTCTGGGTGATAAGGAGAGGGCCCCAGTGTTCAGGCTTAGGGGGTGGATGTGTTGTTCTGTCCCTACCAGCAGTTTACTCATTTCTCTCTCCTGCCTTCTTCCCCCATGCCCTCCTCTCTTGCCATCCCTGCTGCTGCAGCAGGACGTGATGGAGAACAAAGCCATGTATCTGCACACCGTGAGCGACCGGGACACCGGCTCCATATTTGAGGAGCCCTTTGATGGCAGGAGCCTGTCCAAGCTGAATCTGTGTGAGGACGGTGAGTGCTCCTGGCTCAGTCTTGGGGTGCAAGGTCTACTACAGCGGTGAGGAAGGAACCCTACCCACACCCAGGCTTGGCATTGCCCAGTGCATTGGGGAATGCCCCATCTAATTACTGCATGATGAACTTCATGCTTTGGGGGGTGCTCCAAAGAGGGATTAAACCAGTCCTGGCCATCAAAGGGCTTATGATCCCCATGGAAGTGGCTGGCATGGAGGAAGTGCCCCAAATATAAAGTAGGTCAAAACATGCATGATTGTTGATGGGAGGCAGGATGAAGACTTCTAGGTAAAGATCTTGGAGGCTGAAGAAGATGGTGAAAGAGAAGAGGTGGGAAAGGTATTTCCACCTGAGTCACATCAGGCTAGGCCAGAGTTCATCCCTGTTGGGTCTATCCACTCGGAAGAGAGGACAGACCCTGGGTGCTGGCCCTGCTTGGTGCTTCAGCCCATTAATAAGGGAAGCTGGCTACCATATCCTTGAACCAGTTCTGTCTCCACCAACACAGCAGTAAAGAGACCTAGTTTGGCAAGAAGGAACAGGGGTATGGCACAGTGGGGGTGATTGGGGGGGGCATCAGGGCCAACCCAGGGTGTTGGAATGGGGGCCACAGGGAGGGAGAAACCTGGGGTGGGAAGTCTTACTGGAATCATCATTCTTCCTCCTCCTTACCTCTACTCTCCCTTTTCCTGAGTCCCACATATTGGACCAGAGGGCTGAAGATACCATTAAGCCCAGACACTGTGCTTTTGAGGCCCCCAGCTGTGGATCTGTCAAAGGGCAGTTTAGAGCCATGCTAGGGAATGTCCTGCGTGTGGGATGCCCTGAGGCCCAGCCCCAATGGAGTGCAGAGAGCAGAGGCTAGGAGTTTAGGTAGAGGCTGACTCACCTCTCCCGGGGTATGCAACCACAGTAGGACACGTCCTTTACTGGGCCTCAGAGTTCCCACCTCCCAGTGGGGCATGCAGAGAGTATCTCAAAAGTCCTGGTAAGTTCTAAAATTCTGTAAGCAGAAATTGCATTAGGTCATTGCATGAGGGGTGTGGTCCTGTTAGACCCACTCAGAACATGACACTATGCTCTGCGAAGGCCAGCAATGGCTCCCACTCCAGTAGGAGTAAGAACCCAAGCCTAGCGCCCTCCCTTCTTGCAGCGTTGCAGCTGACCTTCGTGCTGAACCTGCTGGCAGACTCCGCTGAGGCCCCTGCCCCTGAGAAGGGTGCTCTCCCAGAGTGTGCACCCACACTGCCCCTGCTTTCTCTGGCTTATTCCCTGACCCACTTCTGGTCTTCACTCACATCTCAGAGGCCTTCCTCTCTCTTGTGCTCTGATGCCCTTTCCCTGCTTCTCTTTCTCCTTTCTTCCAGAATCCTCTTCTCTTCCAAACATTACTCACTTTTCTTACACATTCTGTTTATCATTCATTATCTGTTCATGCAGCAAGAATGAAGGCTGAGTGGGGGCAGGCATCTCTGTTTTATTCATCGATGTCTTGCAAGCCCAGCACAGTGTAGGTACTCGCTAAGTATTTGGTGAATGAGTGAATGAACAAAAAGAAGCATCCTTGAAATGGAAAGGTGGCCACCCAAATGCCTTCCAAACCTGCTTTCCAGATTTCTGGATCTCCCTCACTGCTCACTCCTGGCTGCCAGGCACAGGGTGTGGCACTTGAGGGACTCAGGCTGGACTAGAGTATTCAGATGAAGCCAGTGACTTAAAAGCTTGTGGGTTGCTGGTTTAATTTCTCTCCGCCTGCTTCCTTTTCATTTCTAAGAGGAAACCAAGGAGCTTGACTTGGAGAAATTCAAGCCAGATTGGTCTGTTGCTGAATGATTGTGTTCTTTCTTTGATCGTCATCTCCACAGTGTATAAGAGGAGATGGAAAAGGAGGATGAGGATGGGCAGAGAGGAAGAGGGAGATGAAAGAAGAGAATGGAAAAACATGGGGGAAAGGAAAGAGAGCCCAGCACCACTGAACCTGGGTCAAGACCACCCTGTGGGCCTTTAATAAATTCCAACACTGATGTGCTAGGGTTGGTGGGAGTGCCAGTTCCTTACAGAATTTCCCTAAACATAGGGGGAGAGGGAGGAGAGTTGGCCTTTGACCTTGCTTGGGAGTGGGCCTGGGGATATTGGCATCAGGAGATGCAAAACTGCAGAGGTCCAGCCCAGATATTAGGGTCTGATCCAGACTTCAGTGCAGGTAGGATCTTAGAGACATCAGAGTCCAAACGCACTGGGTTGGTTGGAGTTATGCGCTGCTGTTCCTTTTCCGACCTATGTAGGTTCCATCTTCTTTCTTGCCCCCTTGCCCCATCATCCCCAACATGAATCCATGGGGTCTGTCTGTGCCTTCCTGCTGTGCTCCTTCATGCCCTCATCCTGGGGTGGTCCCCTTCCTCCTCCCCTCTCTCCGTGCATCCTCCGTTCAAGCCCCATTCCTG